ACGGCACGGACTTTGGGGTCTGGTCTGTTCTCTCCCTATGGCATCTCTCTGTTCTGTTTGCATGTCCTTGTTTTTCCTTTCTCCAGCCTAACACCCATTAAGTCTCTGGTCAGTATAGATGCGTAGATGTATTTAAAAGTCTGCAGCCCTTCAGAAAAGTATGTCTCTTCTGATGCTCGGAATGCCACCTTTGGCACTGTTTAAGCCTTCTTAGCGTTTTGCAAGGCAGCCTGGTGTCCTGGTTTGTCCTTAAGTCCGTTGCACAAGTTATTTTCCTCAATTGAAAAGTACAAATTTGGGAGGGATGAGCAAAGAAACAAAAAATTCCTGTAAAGAAAACTTATTAGAAAGACAAAGGATCGTTTGAGCGTTTTAAATTTCTGTGTATCTGAGTATGAGGGGATTTTCCCGGTCCTTTCCCAGGAATAGATTTTGGTAGGAGGAATAGAGCATGAGACCTGGATGGGCTAGGCCGCCTTGGTTCCCCTCCCTCCCATCCAGCAGGACAGGCCCCTAGAGCAGTCCTGGAGAACTGAGTCAACAGTGGCATGATGGCAGGTTGATTTTGCACTCCCTGAGCAGTTTTCCAACGTGGACCTGATTCCTTAGCTCTGCAGAGCCACCCCCAACTCCCCACCCCATGCCAGTAGGATGTATCCTGCCTCTGACCAAGTCACCTCCCCAAAGGATGTTGGGTTACTTCGGAGTAGCCCTGCAGCACCCATTCCCACCCCCACCCAAACCCTAACTTTGGCCTTTGCCACAGAATCACAAGACTGCAGAATGTCCTGATACGGAAGGCAACAAACTTATCATTGAACAGAAGAGGAGCCCAAGCCCACAGGGGAAAAGCTCGTGGGCCAAGATCACAGCTTCTTAGAAACAACATACCAGATCAGAACCTTTCAATGGCAAAGACAAACCAACCCAGGTTTTCTGACTGCTAATCCAGGTTTCTTCCCACCAGAGCATGCAGTTTGTAGTTCTGACCTCAGCTTTGATGGGGAGACTTCTAGAAGCAATGAAGGGGCTCTGGGTCAGAGGATGTTAAAATGGACCATTGAGAAAAGTGCTGAGGAGAGGAGCCAAAAGGGAAAGAGGAGGGAAAGCATTGTCAGCGAGTACCTACCACATGCCATGAGTCGTGCATGTGCTTTGCTGCATCACGGTACCTTAAAAGAAGCAGGTGTTGTACCATTCTCCATGTAAAGAGGGGAAAACTGAGACTCAAGAAAGGGAAGTGACTTCTCCAAGGTCACACAGTCAAGAGGATGGAGCTGGGATATGGATATAGGTCTGTTTGATTGGAAAGCCCCAAGAAATTCAGGTACCATGCAATTTCATATTATTTCACACGAAAGGAAACAGGCACAGAACAGTAAAAGAATCTTAAGTAAGGGCTAGAGCTGGGATTGAGAAGCAGGCATGTGGCTCCAGAATGCACACTTAGATTGCACACTTGATGTATACTTCTCATGTAGTAGTAGTAGTAGTGGTGGTAGTAGTAATAATAATACCTGGTTCCTAGATGATACTTAATCTTTTCCTGAGCCCAGCAGGGTGGTTACTATCTTCCCATTTTACAGATGAAGAAACTGAAGCCCAGAGAGAAAGTGACTTCCTCAGGATCACACAGAAAATTTCCTGGTTTAATGGAGAAGGTTGTAATTCTACCGATCTCTTGTAACAGATAATAATTAAGAAAATGTTTAATGAGCACCTATCAAGTGCCAGGTGCTGCATTAAGTGCTTTATATGTATTTTTAAACTAATCACAGCAACCAGAGATCCTTGTTCTCAGTATTCCAGATTACAGGCTCAGGGTCAGTGAACTGACTTATCCAAGGTCATGCACTTGGTGGTCTTCAGAGCTGGGATTCAAACCCTGGTTTCCCTGACTCCCAGTCCAGTGCTCTTTCCCCTGTGCTAGATGCCCCAGAACAGCAGAGCTGAGGGTAGGCAATCAGTAGGTGGGTGCTCTGGGGCTCACCTCTACCTTCTGGCTGTGCCACTGCCATCTATGGGTTTAGCTAAACCTGTTCTTAAAAACCTATTTATAGTTTAAAATTGTACTACCACTTGGGATAATGAGTCCCTTAAGTTAACTCCCCACAGTGTAAATTAAGGCTTCGTTTTACTTGTCCTAAATCTTTCTTTTTCAGGACTGGAGGGGGCAAGGCGTAGTGGGTAAAAGCTCTAGGACCAGAACACTTGGATTCAGAAGTAGGCTGTCATCCAAATAGCATTTGCCTGTAATGGCAATTCCTGAGGCCCAGGTTGCAGGTGGCATTTGTGCAAACATCTCATCTGATCACATGAGGAGTAGGCAGTGCCTGGATTTTCACGTCTTTTAATCTGTCTTGCTTCCTATGATATTCCCAGCGTTGAGGTTTTGCAGTCACAAGGAAGCTATCAGATACCTATTTGTTGAATGATTAATCCTCATTTTACAGGCAAGGAAACAGATATGTAATATTAAGAGAAAACAAGACCCATATCAGATGATTCTAAAGAGGAACTCTAATATGGAGAATTAGTTACAAGTTGTATGACAGGCAGGAAAAGCAATCAGGGGAAGTTGAGGCAAACCTGAGATTAGCATAGGAAGCCACGACCTCCCCCAGGGCTGTAGCTATAAAGGGAGAAAATGGCACTATAGGGACCAGATACTGGGGCCACGCCAGAGAGGGACCATAACGGGCCTTTCTAGCAGGAGCTGTGACTATGGAGGATGCTGTAGCTACTGCCACCATCCCCGTCCTCCACAAGGCTGGGAGAGATGGTGAGAAATGCCTTGGCTTCTCCCTTCCTCTTACTCTCCAGTCTCTCACCAGCACTTCCCATTGGCTGACCCCTGCCAGAAGCCAGTTGGCAAAGGAACCCAGGAAACATGATTTTCTGGAATCAGCCTCTACCACATAGAGTGGAACAGAAGGGCAGAGAATGGATTTGAAATAAACAGAAAAATGAACTGACCCAGATAGTCCTGACCCTAGGAAGGAGTCATACCATGTATGTGTTGTCCGGCAATCCCCCTCCCCTCAACTCCATTTGATCCTTTTAGGCTTTTCATCTTTCCATAGCCAGCTTAAGTATCACTTCCTCCAGAAAGCCTCCTAGAACTCCTTCCCAGTAGATTTACTATCTCCCTAGCACATTCTCCATGCCTCTGTCATAGCATATACCACAATGCAATGCTGGTGGTTACCCCCAGCTCCCTCAGTAGATTGAACTTCCCAAGGCCAGACCCAGGTCTTATTTGTTTCTCTGCTGGGAAGAAAATGGTTGTTGAAGGAATCTGCTCTTGGTAGGGGTAACATGGGGTCTGGAGTCAGACCAAACCTATAGTCCAAATATCCCAGCCCCTACATTTATATGCTGTGTGAGACTGGATAGCCTTCATTCCCTTTGAGCCTCAGTTTTCTCACCTGTAGAATGGGAATAGCAATAGAAACTGAGAAATAAAAGGGAGAATGTTGGCAGTACAGTTAAGCTCAGGCTCTGGAATCAGACTGTAGTCGGCGCCCAGCTCCTCTTTAAGTTACTTAAGTCTCTACATCTCTGTTTCCTCACCTATAAATTAGGGATGATATTAATACTTCATATGACATTTATGAGGATTAAGTGAAACAGTACAAGTGCTCACTAAATG